CCGGAAACGCGGCGCCGGGACGCAGTGGCTCCTTGCTGCAGCGCTTCACCCCGGGAGGCTTGGCGCTTGCCCCCGCAGTCCTCTAGCCCCCACCCTCCGCGCACACACCCTAGCTTTCACAAGAACTGGAAGAGCAGGCCAGGACCCTGTGGCTCCTGCTTCTCCACCGCACACCCTGCGTAGGGCCGTTTCCACCCTCTTAAAGGAGCCGGGGAGGAACGGGGCGGCCTCATCCCCGAGCTCTCACGAAACACTGGCGGCGCCCTGGTAATTGAGACGAAAACCCAATGGTCGGGAACGCCGAGGAGGTGTAGGGAGAGGTGGGAAGAATCACTACAGGAGGAATACCCTTTCCCAAGCCAGTGTTTTTCCAAAACTTGGGTTTTAATCTGGGAAATGCTGGATTCGGCTTGGTAAATCTGGGTCATGGCTTTACACGTTTTTTAATGAAATTGAGACGAATGGAACACAATAGAAAAATCTCGGAAGTGCATCACGTGGTGAGGGAGTTCTGAAAACATTCCAGTTTTTCGTATGTATCACGGATGGTGATATAAAATGTATTTATGTAGGTCTGGCCAAACAAAGTTTGAAAAACACTGCTTTTTGCCAAGGGGCATGCAGAAATAACAATCACGCATTGTATTAATGCTGGCCTTACTCCCAGAATGGAAAGGGCTGTACAGATTACAACATTCTTGTGTCTGACCCTATTATGCAAAAATTTTCACTTGCTTTTAGCCTATTGTACATACATGCAGTAACAGTGAATTGCTGTTTATCGTTGAGGAAATGAGAGACACCAGTGCACCTGTGAGAAAATAAGTTCATTGCACCTTCCAAGATACACATTTCAAAGTAACCTACACATGAAAGTAGCCTACAAAACAGGTGCCCCAGATGTTTTCTCCCTATCAGTGAGTGGTTGCCTAATACAAGTTCTGACAATCGCAAAGATCAGATACAGTCAGGTCTGTGTAGGGGTGCTCAACCTCAATTCTCAATCATGCAAAAGTGGAGCCACTAAGTCTCCCTTTGCCACGTGGACATTTTCATGACCTCAGTTAACAGTTAGATAATTAGGTATGGTTGGCACAGAGAATACAAGGTTGAACAAATCATAATCTCTGTTCTCCAGAGGCTGCTAGAGAAGAAAAACATGATCAAAAAATCATAAACGTGTTAAGTGCCTTATTAGAGGCACTAGGGAGAGCACAAAGGAGAAGATGCTTACGTCGTCCACATCTTTCAGTTAAAGTTGGAGAGCGAAGGTGATTTCCAGCTGAATCCTAAAGGAGGAATGAAGTTGTTCAGGGGGAGGACAGGAGGGAAAATTACTAATTCACTGATTAATTGCAGAATGATGTTAAAGTGTTGGGCACCTTGGGAGAAAGTGACTGGGAACAACTCTTCTTGGAGTTTTTAGTGAAGCCAAAGTGCATGCAAGGTTACTCAAAAGTATCATCTGAGGAAATGGATTTTCAAACAATCAGAAAAGTTAGGATGGACCGAAGGGACAAGATATTCTAAAAGCTACTCTTGTTCAAGAAGCATGGGAGAGTCTAAGAAAGGAAATTAAGTGTACGAACCTAGATAATTTTAGCTGTTGATAAAGCCCATCTGGTAACCAAGGACAAACCTTGAAACCCAATAGGTTTATTGACTTGCTTCAGCAAGGAACAAACACAGTTGTGGACAGGTTTTTTAAAAAAGAGGACAAAGTAAAGGACCATTACAGTATTGAGGGAAGAGAGGAATACAGGTTAAAATCTAAATGAAGCAGCAGCTGATAGTCTATAAGGAAATCATATCTGTATGTACCATCAAACCCGTGTTGAGAAGCAGACTCAAGGTTCTGTTTCCTTGGAAGCATAAATTTAAGGTAAATGTAGAATATTGGGTCTGAAATCTCTTATCTGAACTTCTGTGCTGTACATTGAGGCTGCTTTTCTAAGTCAAAGTGACCTAGTTTGAATCCTCCAGGTCAATAAGTGTCAGTTCTGTTCTCACTAAAATGATAAGCAAACAACAAAGTACCTGGCGGTCTAAGATGTTAGAGAACAAAGTTTCTCAACACTATGTCCTTTGATAATTCACTAAAGCAATTTTGCAAATTCACTAAATGAGTTGGTTGATAAGTGAGGAACATCAATATAGATACCATGTGGTGTATCATGGTGCCGTAAGGTATGTATTAGGTCGTAGAGAAAGTCTTGATGTCTTTTTCTGTGTTTTTCTATGCAAAAAATGCATCATGACTTTCCTGACATCCCAGTATTTTTCAAGAGATGTTGAACACCACACTAGAATTATGTAATTCATTCATACAAAAAGCATTCATAAGATAAATGCCAAAAAGTGAAAGATACACCATGATACAATAATATAAATCCAGAATAATTGTTTTTATTTATTCCGAATACTATTTTGGATACACGATAAAGTACAGATTTATAAACATGTAGTCGTGCGAGGTTGTGAACACTTCATGTAGTGAATATGCAAGTGCAGGAAAAGGACTGAGAAAGGAGATTTCTCTGCTCTGGAAAACTGATCATAAGTCCAAGCAGTCATTAAACAGGTAAGTTGTTAAGTCAGGAGTGGAAGTACCAAATTAACTAAGTAGAAAAAATGGAGGCTGGCAGGTGGCGTGGTGGTTAAGGGCACTGGATTCCCACATGGCCGACCATGGTTCAAGTTGTGGACCTGGAAACTTGCTTTCTCACTTTCTCTCTCTGTCCTTCTCTGGACAAATTAAAATAAATACATAAATAAATAAATAAAATAAAGTTAAAAAATAATGCTCAAAAATAAATAGAAAAAAATGTGATTTTATTGAGAGATTTTCAGGAACTCTGATTTTTACAGAATTTGAGCTCTTAAAAATAGAGAGGACCAGGGCATGTGGATTTGGGGAGACCGAAAGCCTCTTGAAGAGGTTTTGTGTTAGCTACCTTCCAAGATTGTCCCTGATGATCTTTGTTTCCTTCTATTATTTTTTAAAAGGAATGATTTTAATTTTTACTATTATTATTTTTTAATTTGACCAGAGAGAAAGGGGGAAAGTGAGAAAGCAAGCTGCCAGGTCTGATGCTTGAACCTTGATCAGCCATGTGGGAGTCCAACACCTTAATCACCATGCCACCTGATGGTCCCATGCTTCCTCATATTCTTGTCCTTGTGTTATATCCTTCAAATGTGAGCTGGTCTGTGTGACCAAAAGAGCATGATGAAGGTAATGATGTGTTATTTTTTTTCTTTTTTTGGAGAGGTTTTTTTCGCTATAGGGAGCGTGCGCTCGCCAGACAGACAGACAGAGACAGAAAGCGAGAAATCGCCCCCCCCCCAGGGGGGATGGTCACACCGCAATCCCTTCTCCTCCATTCTCCTCTGGGATCTTGGGCACGCATGCACATGTGCCCGGCGTGAGTTTTAAGCCACCAGGTCCAGGACGCGAACCGTGGTCGACTACGTGGGAGTCCAGCAACATAGCCATTACGCTAACTGCTGGTTCCCCATGATGTGTTATTTTTGAGGCCAGGTGATAGAAGGTATCATGGCAGGGCCAACAGGTGGAGTGGTGGTTAAGGGTGCTAGATTCCCACATGGCTGACGACGGTTTGAGTCCCAGATTGAAGAGATTTAGGAGAAGGAATAATAAAAGCAAAGATACAGAGAAGATACAAAGAAGATTGAGAAAGATAACTGGATTGGTGTAAACGGAAGTTCAGGGAGAGATGTGAAATGAGAGAAAAGATTGAAAAGTTTGATTGAGGTCTACGTGTGGAGGGTATAAAACAACAGGTAGGATTTTATTCTGCAAATGAGAGGGAATATTACAGGTTTAGGGGAAAGGCAATGACCTCTGCTTTCTTTAAGGAAGATCATGCTGGTAGCAGTGTGTAGGATGAGTTGAAGGAGGAAGCAGAGAGACCAGTTGGACATTTAAATAATCAAGGCAAAAGGTGTGGATCAACTGAATCAGGGCAGCACAGAACAAATAGGAGGAAAAGGACTCTGTGGGTTCAAATCAGATGGGGATAGATAAGATTATTAATTAATGAGAAGAAAACCCTTAAATTTCCTGGCTGAATACCTAAGAGGATAGTATCTACCCACCGTCAGAGGCACAGACCTGGTGCACAGTTGCCAGGGAATCCAAGTAAATAATGAGATGCAAAGAAGTAAATTCCTCATTTGT